AGGCAAAAATATCGAATGACGTAAAACGATGTTCGCGAAGAAATTGACTGAATGTATGAGATCATCTCTTGACGATTCCCAGCAATATAATTTAGTCTGTAACACTCGATGAAACTGATCCGTCAGTTGCCCACTAGGAAGCCGAACTATGACCGACTATGGCTTTGCTGCCTGCGTTTCAAGTCTCAGTTTAACCACCTTTGACATTTTTCCACTCGTTACCCAACTCAANTCAACAAATATTGTAAGCCTAGGAAGCCGATATAAAAGTATGAGTAAAATATGTTGCAACCATCCAACTTTACAGTATTTGCGTGAGTACCGGATCGCGATTACCAACGTTTAACCTTGGCATTGGTTGTCCAGTCCTCCCACCAAACTCGTGCAATGTGGCATGAACAGTGATTTTCGAGGACTGACAGTCTCTCTTTGTCAGGTTCCGGTAAAGGCCAAGTTATTGCACCAGATGGGAGAGACGGACGGACAACTGTAAGACACTCGATCACTCATAGACATCCAGATGTCGAGGGGGCGCTATCAATCTCTCATCTTGGCAAACGCTTACAAAGCCTTCTCTACCCGTGTCAGCTTCCAAACCGAGATACGGCCAATGGATGCCTGATCGACAAAATATTGTCTACAGTCACTTTTGGCTTATCACTAAGGCTAACGTAGCGTTTTACAATTTTCAGGTGCACTATTTATACGATGAGAAAAATATGGGCGAAGTTAGGGTGAGTACACGAGCGGCTGGCGCTGGAAAGAAAGCAAACTTTGCGAGGAGTAGGAATTGAGAAGAGCAAGAGAAATGGATATGAAAAACAACGAAAGAAAAACGAACATCCTGAACATCGATTGGCGCCCAGTGATAATCAAGTTGTTTACATAAGTTGACCACGATGAAGCACTGTACGGCCACAAAACAGCATTGCACAATTTGACCCTCGAAATGCTCAATCAGCTTACCTTTAGTGAGCTGGGTGACAATGGAGAATAGGCGGAACGACTTGACGACGCATTGGCGACCTTCCCGTCGGCATGCCCACGCGAATCGCTGACAGTCGGGTTCATATCGGAAACGGTATTGGTTGCGGCGGCTGCTGCTGCCGCTGCCGCTGCAGCAGCCTGTGCATGAATGGCCAACCAAGCCGCGTGTTCCGCAGACAGACCCAGTCCAGGAAAGTCATCTGAAGAAAAGAAACAAGCGAATTAGGCTGGATAAGAAGAGAAGGAAAACAGTCCGGTTGGGAGATATATGGTGAAGGAAAAAAGTAGATCGTTCCACGAAAAGTCACAGAAAAAGGAATTAATCTGATGATATCCGGCTTGTTCTACAACAAAGACAAAAGAGAGTTGCATCGTGATTGGTGACCTGTAGAAAACCGCGCTGAGAACATAGGCTAATGTCAAACAACCAAAGAACATAGACCACTGTGGTTGAACAGGGGTCTGCAAGAATCATGTGCATTGCAATTACAGTGCACTGCACGAATACGGGAGACCAGGTAAATGAAGAAACGTTAAAAGAATCGTTTACAAGTTCGCCCTAAACCCGATTAAAAGCACCATCCGGTAACAGTGACCAGTGCAATCAACCCTGTTTGCAAACACAACGGGACAAAGTTCTCCAGCTACACCAGACGGGACCGGTGACAAGGAGGATATGATCTGACAAATCCTGTGTCCTTCCCCTCTATCTTCGTTTCTCTGTTCCGTACTCTAAATCACTATTAAACAATATACACTGTAATTTTAGACTTTTTCTAGTCACCTTTCACCTCATACGTATCGGCGAACAGACACGCATTTATTCTTAGATTATATACAAATACAGTACTGGCCGATTGTGATGCACTAAAATATTTTCTTTATGATCAAGTTCAGTTTCACCTATAATTATATATATATATATATATATATATATATATAAAAGAAGGCGAGCACTGAGTGATAGTATTTATTGTGACGTTTCGATCCTGACTAGCACTCGCTGTCAAACGATAATACGTGTGAATGAATTGGGTCTGGTTGTGCCTCGCACTGTGGTTTGCGTCGCGCCTGTTTGTCCATCAAACCCGCGTTCATCATTGGTTGTACAATCGTTGCGTAATGTTTATCGATTTCCACGTGTCGATTGAATGAGTTGGTAGAGCCACAGCTTTCACATCTTAGTGCAGGCAGGTGACGTTAACGCAAAGGTTGGCACACTGAGCGTATCCTAAGCCAGTCTGGAGGAGNTCGTTCTGCCGCAGACAACGATGATCGGCAACTTCAGTTCTGCGCAGATCAATCGGCTGTTCCTATTAACCACCAACTTTCGACACGGCTCTCATCGGACGGCAACATGGTGTTCTAGTTTAACGGGTAAGTTGACTGAAATTGACCACAGCAGGAGGGTACCGTTGGCACAGAAAATAGCAGATCCCATTGGATCACTTGTGTTAAGTTTGATCACGCCCTAGTTCTGATGAGCTTCACGCTTCGACTCATCAGTCATCGGTTAAACCTCCCTCTTTCTAAATAGTATCATTCCCTATCCGTCTTACAAATTCTCACTTTGTTTACATTGTAAGCTTGGTGGCGATCGCTGATGATGACAATGAGGCTATTGTGGCTCTGTCGAGTGGTCCGAGGTGTAACAACAGCTCTCCTATCGAGGCTATAAGCAGCTCGTGATTTCCACTTCTCTGAACTGGGTGGTTGTTAGTTATCCTCCGTGATCCTTCAACACTAAGGAGATGAAGTTAGACGCCAGATCGGGCTAAATGTTATGGTGCGCCAAAAAGTGAGAGACCGAAGAGGTTGCTTACTATTCGGGGTCCCTTCAGAAACAGGGGGGATCCATCGCGGCCCGGGAAGTGCGCCCGCATGGGGACCAGTAGGTACAGGCAGCGTGGCCGGGTTGATGGACCGGGAATAAAGACCGCCAGATGTGTTGCGTTCTATGAGTGAAAGAAAAAAAAGGGGGGAGGGGCGAATGTCACTTGAGATCATTAGGTTAAAATGATATCAAATGAGAAACTCTTTCGAAGTACATACTTGGAAGAGTAGGATTGTGTCCTAGTGAGCGCAGCGACAGGTCACAGATAACGGAACGACCGTCGATTTACGATTAACCATGAACAGGGTGGGTCAAGGTTAACTGAATCATATGCCGAGGAAGGTCAGCAGCAATGCCCGAAGATCTGACGAGTTTACCCTCTAGCAACGAATCTCCAAACAAAACAATTCTCATATTTGTGGACAGCGAAGAGACGTGAGGAACTTGATCGGCCACCAAATATGGCCACGGCTTCTTGTCGCGTCCCATTAGACCGCCAAGGTTCTTCAGAAAAAGCCGATGAACGGTCTTCGGTTACAGTGCACCCCCGAGCAAGGCGAACTCTAGATTTGGTGAACAAGTAGTACAACAGTCCACAACTACTTGGTGTTCTCGTTTCTTGCGGCAGCGATGGGCACAGATCGATAACACCGCTATAAGTCACAAATGGCGGTGCTGCGAACACCACTGTCAATCTGACTGGAACAAAAACACGGAATCCGACCGTAGATCATTATGTACGTAATTTTTCGTGTGCCTCGGCGGGTGTTCTTCTCTGAACCGATGTAATCACCATAAACTGCCCCAGATGGCTCGGTTATGTTTTCTGTATGCCTATCCATCGTCGACCTCTCTTTGCATATGTTGAGCAAAGCTAGAAGAGACACCGCGACGATCAGATCATGACATGGCGCAGCGATATGAATCAGTTAACTTTAGCATTGGTTTCGGTTGGTTGCAACCCGCGCTCCCGATTGGATCCTAAGGGATTAGGATCACCGTTGGTTGAGAAACGCTGAGATGCATGGCTTTGAAAAGAAATCAATGGCGCTGTATGTTGTTCCATTCACATTCCATAAAACGACCGAAAGCATCAAAATGTGCATGGTAAAAGAGACAGACAAAATATTGTTGTTCTCTCTAATCTGTTTCTTCTCGTTCTCAATCCGGTCATTTGCACCCCAAATGCTCCGTGCCTATTACCATTGTTGTCAAGCTGGTAACATGACTGATCTCAGGTTGTATATATGTATATAACTATATGCATATATGTATATATGTATATAACTTTCAACTGAGAAGTAAAACCAGGAAACGGACAAGTGTGTGGTTGTGACTAAAATTGTAGCATGGAAAACAAATAATACGCGTGTTACTACGGTAAGTGATAACCATGGAAACTGATCTGGAAGGGAGCAGTCAGAGCGAAAGAGAGAAACCTACCGGGGCGTGTGTTGTTGTTGCTGCTGCCGCTGGTAGAACTTGACCCGGCTGTGTCAGGACGTTCCAACTGTTGCGCGGTAAGAAAATCACCGAACAGGATCGCCTTGCTTGAACTGTTCACATCCTGTGGTAAAGTGCGAGCCGGACGTGGGCCGGTTACGACAGGCTCTAAACCAAGTGATGATGATGAGCTCTCGCCGCCCAATTTGGCATTGGTTGACTTGTGACAGGCAGGACTTGAACGATCCAATCCGACTGGTAGACCGGATGGACTGCATTTGGACTGTGCACCGGAAACGACCAAACGGGAGCCTGTGTGAGGTCCAATATCACGCTCATTACTAGCAGTGACTGCTGCGGTGGCTGCAGCAGCTGCCGCAGCGGCTGCCACATAGACCGCGGTGAGGTCGTTACCCTTGGTAGGCAACAGACGGGGATTAGGTGGGTGTTGAGAGGATAACCACCAACAGTATCGTTCGACGACGTAACGGGAAGGAACACAATGCACAATGTATAAATACAACAAAAAGTAGTCAATGTGAATTCAGATGAATTGTACAACTGGTCGCGCGTACCTTGGTCAACAAAAACCCCAGTGAGAGAAGTTTCATGGAAACCCTATATCACAGAGGATGTGCCCCCTGAAATAAGTGGACCAGTACATGGTTTATAAATTTATGAGAACTGTCCAAACGATTTGGGTTTAGAAAATATGGGTACTGCGCTTACAAATGCTGAATTTTAAAGAGAAAATTTACTGGATTTCAAGTCTATCTCCGAAATCGACGAGACCTTAACGAATCCGAGATTCCATCTGAACAAACTACAAAAGGATGAACGCGAATGTCACGTGTACCACCTACCACCTACATGACCGGGAAATGCAACGTAAGAGGAGCATGTAACGTAGTTCATAGCCCTGATGCATTGAGCCGGAAATTGTAAAGCGACACTAATGGCAGGGTGTTCAAATTTGGGAGGTTACAGGCCGATGCACACCAGTGACGGTGATCCAGATTGCTCGACAGTTATTGCAGCTCGATTTTTGAACGTTCTTTTTACTGTCATATTGGTTATAGGAGTAGAACACACAGGTTAATTTGGACTGAAGAGTTGACGAGTGTAAACTAAAAACAAATCGCTGACCAATGTGATCCACAGTTCGTGATCATGATAATCCGTGTCGGGTCTCCGGTGACGACAGCACAGCAATGTCCGATACACAAACGAGAACATGTCACAGACCAAAGTAGACATCACATAGCCGAGGGAAATGACTGTAGTTGAATGAAAGGTAGCGGGTAGCGATGCGGATTGTTGATCAATAACAGGACAAAAACAAGACCTTTATCGTTGTTGAGTGTCATCGTGAAAGTTATCACGGGGAGACTTACCAGTCCGCTGGAGCTCACACTTTCCGCTGCGAAGCGCGCAGCAGCTGCATAGATTTCGGCAGCCGGAGTCGAAGGAAACAAACAATTGCCTGGAAGTGGTTCTTCCGTATGCATGGACTGCTTGTTTATCGGTGGTGGACATGGATTCCGTTGCTCTTGTAATTTGGAACAACGAGAAGCTTCGTGCACTTGATGTGACAACGACTCAGTTATGTGTTTGGAATCGGTAAGTTTCGAATTCGTGCCCAAGTCCGTATTTTGTGAAACTAGATTTCAAAAAAAAACAATTTGCATAATGATTGTTATGCGAAACAGGGAGAGGCTCGAGGTACATTTTGAGGAGAGAATAATCCGATTGGTCAAAAAGATACTAGACACCGGAATCGTTTTCGATCCCCTATCAACTCACATGTTGACATGTTTCGGGTGCGACCGGTGATGACACGTCCGGAAGTGCCGGAAGTTGTATCGTTTGCATCATTACTGCCTGAAGCATCCGAAGACCAGGGCTGTGAAAAAAAGAGAACAACATAAAACAAGTGACCGAAGAACAACTGAACTTCCGATTCGAAATGCAGTGAACTATGAAGCGATGCGAAACATTTTGTATTTATATGTGATGACCGTTGAGCAAAAAGATGTCAGTAACAACGGGCACATCAACTAGGTTCGAGCAAACAGTGGACGAGTTCAATACCGATGATGACGATGGTAGTGGAAGGGCGAGTAGAGAAGTTCGAGCTTTATCACTACCATTCCGGTAGGGTGACAGACTACTTTGTCTCCCGATTTAATACTACACGCATACTAATGGAAATCTACATAGCCCATGAAATACAATTATGTAGTCTTAAAGCGAGGATGATTGTATTCATATGTTAATCTTCGCAGATACAATGCCTACAAAAGCCTCAGTATGGTCGAAGATAACTGTCTCGGGTTGGAGCAGGTAACCCGTACGTTGCATTTCGCGGAATGCTCCCATAATACCAAGCGTCCCAAACAACCTCCGTTCATGAAGCCCTACTCACTGCTTTCCCGTGACGTGAGTGTTCTCCGGTCAAAATGAAAAAACGAAAAGCCAACTCCCATGGCAGATCACCTAGGGGAGATGGCTAAAAATTCAGATTTTAAACCGAGCAAAAAAGGCGTGTAAACAATACCCACAGGATCCTATTTGTGGCAGTAGTCATTGGCCCCATCAAACATCGGGGTCTATCGGACACTTTGGAAGTTTTACTCCGTCACAAGGGTGTATGCTCCAATCAACCCCGCACACAAAAAATGAATAATGTTTCTGGAACAACTACCCCATTGTCTTGCGTGTTGGGCTTTGGTTGGTTAAAGGATTCGATTGTGAATTCTTCACGTCAACCTATAACGTGGTCAAAATTGACAATTTCTCCATCTGCCGAGCTGACCGACCCGTTCCGGTTCACAAACCAGGCGGTGGTGTTATCACATACATA